CCCCCCCGGTGCGGGGGGGTGGGGCAGCTGCTTGCTGCTTCTGGCGCACAACCTGGGGAGTGTCCAGAGCATGTTCTTTCCCCAGAGCACCCCCACAGTGTCCTTCAGCCCCAAATCCAGCAATGCGAGTCCCAGCCTCCTCCCTCTGACCCACATGTCTCAATTCCACGCCACCTCAGCACCCAAGATTCTTCCTCCAGACACCTCACTATCGCATTGGCAAAGAGCGCAAAACTCCTCCCGCTAAGGGCCAAGAATAAAAGCAGGCGCTTTGTGCCTCCTTCATTCTCTGCTATTTACCACTTAATTTATTTTCCCCAGCGGGCCTTTTAATTAGCACCCAGGTGAAGCAGAACTGCGCTCCCTGGTGACAGAAATTATCACCTCTCGATCCTGCTGCAAGGTCTCCAGGAGTTGTAGTTCCTGACTTTGAAGTCAGGAACACCCACGTGGTTCTAAAGGTAGCTGGGAAGGAGACAATGCTAGTGTGGACAGACTTGTGTAAAGAACAGGAAATAAATATGGTATTTCCTTTCTGGATACAAGTTGTTTTTATGAGCGCAGGACGAATGGTATGGGTAAGGTGTTTGAGTAGCCCCTGGGAGGTAGGTGGTACGGGTTGGAATTTGGGGTGGGAAATGCTAGATGAGGGAAATGCTTGTAGGTCAGTGGCAGAGCCCTTTGCTTAGAACACCCTAGTGACAGGCAGGGGTTTGGCTCAGTTGTAGAGCCCCTGCCTAGATTCCCCAGTGAGGGGCTGGGGTCATGGTTAATGAATGAAACGATGACTTGACCACACCAAGGTATAGTTGAGGAGAAGGTTTTATTGTATATATGAAGGAGAATACAGCCAGAGACATCTGGAAGAGCCCAGGCTGAACTGGGCCATGGGGGTGGGGGAGTGGGGCAAGAGAAGAGGAGAGAGGGCAAGGGGACCAAGAGAGCACCTGTCTGAAATGCCAGGTTTGTATGGAAACAAGAAGCTGGAGGATGGAAGCTAAATCCCAAGGCTGGAGAGGGTTAAGTTAGGGACAAGGGTGAAAACAGCAGAGCCACAGGTGCCGTGTAAACCAGGCTGCCAGCCTGAGCTTTGGTATGCTAATAGACATCACAGTTAGCCATTTCTCCTGAGTTTCCTTGTGAACTGACTGAGGCACTGGGGTGTGGCTCAGTGGTAAGGCCCCTCCCTGGCTAGCACAAAAGAGGTCCTAGGTTTAATCTCCAATAACACACACACACACACACACACACACACACTCACACACACACACACACACACACCACACACACACACACACACT